GTAAATGTAAATTATGCACCATTCATATTGGGCGGGCGCTAATTGAATCCATACATCTGTTTAAATTGTATTCCAAGAAGAAAGCTTCTTCCAGTTGGACGCTGGCAGGGTGACAAGCTCCTTGCCTAATTTTGTAACTTTTGCTTTGTCCATGTTTATAACTGCCTAATTCGAACAGAAGATAAGATGTCAGTGTTGGGTCCTTACCTCTTACTCAGCTGCTGTGATTCATGTGAGGCACATTACAATATGTTGAAGAGTTGTATTATTGAACAAAAAGTTCAAAGATCCTCTTTTGAGCAGAAGACAAAGGTTTGCTCAGCAAAGTGCAAGGCTACTTGATGTCCATTTAGAGAAAAAAGAACAATAAATATTATAATTCTGTGACTTGTGTAACCTTGGAATCTGTCTGACAATTGCATGCCATAATTTGTTTCCTTCATTCTCAAGGCAAAACCTTGCAAATATTCCCACACTATGTCTGATCAGGAGTAACTGTGGCACTCGAAAGGCAGAGGTACAAACTGTTATCCTTGCAGGCTCAAGCTGTACTGAAGCCAAGGCTTGCTGCCATCTCACTGATATATTAAATGCCAAGCAGTAGAGACGAAGAAACTGTTACTTCATCCATCTTCGTTGACTGAATGCCCTTACTTCCCTTACAGCTTGTTTATTCATGAGTATTTAGAGACATTCCTCACTGTGGGCTGTGTAGCTGCAGTTTTGTCTCCTTGGAGTTTGTCTTCTTGTTCACTTACTTCATTAAACACTGTTTTTGCATTTATGGCAATGCTGTTTGTTACTAAGTTCATGGCAGCCTGTTTTAGGGAAAAGTGTAGAAACCATAATTAAAAGAACAAATGCAAAATAGTAGGTATGCGATAGGCAAGGGGGAGAAACATGGCAAGGAATTGAAATGTACTCAAGGAATAGATTGGGCAGGGAAAAGAACAAATTTTGCTGGCAAGGAGGGCAGGGGAATAAAGCCAAACCCAGCTTCCTAAAATAGGAAGATAGAGATGATGGGGAAAAAAACCAAATTCCTTTATTAGTGTGTAACATATTTGTAGGGCAGTTTCATTCTTGGGTGGCAGGACATGGCTGATTACCAGTTAGAGAGAATAAAAGGGGAATGGGCTGTAATTGCTTAAAATTGAGGAACAAAGGCATTTGGTTCCCTTTATGGTCAGCCCTATAATAACAAAGAGATTTCTCTGGTTTTTCTTCCCTACTAGTTCCCCAATCAGAGTAATCAGAGTGGCCCCAGCTGATCAAGCATGGAGAGGCTGAATAAGCTTTGTTTTGCTTCAAACTGGGATGATTCCCTCTAGAATTGTTACCAAATCTTACAGTTCACGATTCTGAACTCACTGTCTCGCATCTAGGATTAATTTAATTCTTATTTCAGCTATTTTGGAAAGCCTATGAAGTAGTATAAGTAGCACAAGCAGTTTCCAGCTTAGTGGAGTCCTAAGGGCTCAGCACTGGAAAATTATAGAAGGAGTTCTAGAGTGTCAGGCCCCCATTTGGTCCCCATTTCTGATACATGATGTGAGGTGAATTGGCCTTCTGACTGGGATAAAGGACAAGAGTTTCAAAAGTAACCTCAAAGTATGCAGTGAGGCAAGGGAAGATGTGCACACCAGCAGCATGTTTTCAAGGCACAGTGAGGAGCAGATGATACCTGCAGGTTTAAATGCTTTGTGCCATAGCTGGAAATGCAAGTGCTGGTGCATCACATAAAGTTAGGTTCCACTAAAGAAAGTAGAACAGAGCTCTTGGGTAATGTAGAACATCAAGGATGCAAAAATCAGTTGAGATGGCTCCAGTTCTCATTGTCCCATAAAAACTGACAGATTCTTCACAGTATGGGTGTAGGCTGGGGCTGTTTACCATGAGGACACCTTTCTTCATTGTCTTTATTGCTGTCACTTTTCACACTTGCCCACAGGATTTTGAGTAGCAGGACTTGTCAAAGAGGTGTAAGAAATGGCCTCAAGCTTTCACTGGCTGAACATCACCCTGATCTGTGTGTTGGCACTTGGGAAGAGTGAGTGGAGGGTTGGAACAGGTCAGGCTGTGGCCTCTGTCATGCCTCAACTGTGTGGGCTGCTTTGAGAATTGCTGCCTGCAATTGTGGAGGAGGTTTTTAGGACAACGGCACTGTCAATCCCTGTGCCTGCATGTACATTCCAGGCTGTGGAGGGAGGAAAATTCCCAGGAAGGGAATTTGGTCTTACTGAATGTGCCCAGCCACATATGGGGGCTGACCTTCCAACCACACGCTTGGTGTGACAGATCTCACTGCTTGTATACGTCAAGCCCCACCAAAGCAGCACAAAGTGGAAAGTCTTAACTTACTTACACGTTCTTTCCCACAACATTTTAGCATGTAATGTGTTATAACAATGCTGTCACACTGAATGGTATTGGGGTATTTTTGTGTTCCTTTCCTGAATTAAGTGGCTGGGCTGGATTGTGATCGTGGTTACAAGAAGCTGTTCTAGATTTAGGTAGTGTATATTGAAAGTAAAATCCAGCTGAGAGACAGGATGAATATTATGCTTAACTGAAAAGAGTGTGCTTAACTGTACCCATAACAAAGCCACAACTTCTTAGCTCTGGAGTCATGATAAATTGGGCTGATTAGTGCCAGGAAAGCAGTATGGGGTTTTTTTGTTGTTGTTATTACCAAAAATATGAAAGCAAAACTTGCCATGAAAACAGGAACCACATATTCTAGTGTAGATAAAAACAATGCCAAATCAACATCAGAAAGTAGGGGGGGAAAAAAAAGAAAAAAAAGAGAAATGCATATTTAGAAATAATAGAAATGAAAGTTTATGTAACCAATAAAAAGTGTGACTCCTCTGTACTTTTCCCACCCCAACTGCAGATCAGTGTTCCAAAAATCTTTCTCAGAATTGGTATGTAGATAGCATTTATAAGTTCATGTCTGTTCATAAGTTAAAAACTCAAGAGCAGGCAGCTAGTGCAGAGAGGGTTTTATTCTTTCATCCTACTCATGTGTAGGCCATTAAAAGGATGGCCACTCAGACCAAATAGTCTATGAATGGTGCATGAAGATTTCTGCCTGTAAACTGAACGAAGCCATTCTCTCTTTCCAATGGCATTAGGTTCACTGTTGTGTATGGGGTTAATGGCTGTGCAGGGTATTTGAGGACTGATTGCACTGCCCACCACCAGAGTAGGCCACAAATCCTGCCAGACTGGGGAGGATTAGGCATTGGTGGACTACAGTGTGCTCAGCAGTATTTCCATCTTCTTCCCACTGCTGGGAAGTTGCTGTATTCGTGGTTCTGTGCAGCCCTTAGTAGTGATGTATTGATTGTTCATAGCTGTCTTTTGTTTTGCTGATGCTTCCATTTCCTAAATCAAAGAACTATTGTGAATTTGCTCCCTCAGCTCCTCATAACTGCAGGTCACTATATAAAAACCTTTTCAGGGTTTATTTCAAAAACATTGTTAGAAATATTTATTTAGTATTATTTAGCATCATTATGCAATTAAATTCATCAAAAAGTACTGCTTAAGCCCTTAGCTAGTGGAAGTTCTTCATTCTAATATGAAGTAGGCAAACCAAATGATCACTTTTTAAGAACAAAACTATTTTCAGTTGGTGAAGTGTCTAGTGTTTCCCCTTTCTTGAAGGAGCAAAAGCAATACATCAGCATAATGGAATGAAAACTGCACAATTGGTTCCCTTTGGGAGAAGTGATAGGCAGAGATGAAACTTGGGTCTGGCAAAACTCATTCGTGTCACCATCTCATGGTCTCCTTATACATACATTAGTTTTTTTATTCATTTAACATTGGCATTCCTACTAAGAGAAGCATTTGTTACATTAAATGATTTAATTTTGTGTTCATTTTAAGAGCTGGCTTGTTTCTTTCAGTGCAAAGAGGAAGAAAACTTTTCTTCTTTTCTACTTTGATGTGTGCTCTTTACTGTCTCAGTAATCCCCTCTAAAACCTTTAGTATAATGGATTAGGTATACTCATGCCATCTGGCTCTGATCAGATCAGGATTTGTGATCTGTGAATATCTGGAGGGGTAAAATCAGTAAAAGTGAAAGCTTTGAACATACTTCATTGACTTTAGTTTCTTAATTTCCTTGTTGTTTAAGAAGTTACATGGCTTGAAAGAGTGAAACATTATGAAATCAGAGCCAAAATAAATAGTCTAACTGAGGTAAGATTTGGTAGGTAATGCAACCACGCTGCAGGTGTATTATATCTGAACCTCATGAATATTTTATATAGTCCTTTGTAGAATAACTGCATACTCTCAAAAAAAGCAAACCAACAAATCAATGCCCATGAATCATTTACATAAAGTAGATAACGCAGAATGGGGAAGGAACTGGCTTAACAATTTCACATACAGAACACAGCAGGCCCAGTACAGATTTATTGAAAAGTGACTTTCTCTGTTGGGGTAAAATACTACTTCTACCATAAACAAGATTCAACTAGTGCTCAGCAAGCACCAAAATGGCAACAAAGCCAAAGGAGCTACACCAAGTGTCGCTTCTAAAGGTCTTTTTCTTACATGTTCTCACTCTTCTCTCTGTCTGCAGTTAAAGGGGATTTTTCCCTTCTTAAATCTGTAATCCCAAAGGCATTACCACCATTCCTGATGAGCTTGGTCTTCACCAGTGGTGGATCCACCTTGCAGTCAGCTTCCCTGGAATCCATCAGACATAGGGAAACCTTCTGGCAGCTTCTCACAGAAGCTACCCCTGTACCCCCTTCTGCTACCAAAACCTTTCTGTGCACAAACTCAATGCAATAGGTAGCCAGAACCTTCCCTTTGAATGTCAAAGTTGCCCTGGGGAGGAAGAACAAGCTCAAAGAAAACAAACAAAAGTACTGCAGTCCTGGTTTATTTCCTTGGGAGCTGTCAAAGGCTGAAGGAAGAGCAATAGGGTATCTGAGGTATGATTCACAGTCACCAACAACTTTCCTTCTCTCCTTAGGACAGCAAGAGGCCAATTTCAAAGGTTCCCAGCTCTTTGGCTCTGCATCCCACTTGTGCCAGCTTTTTCTTTCATTTTCCCTAAGGTAGGAACAGTTCAACTTCCAGTACAAATTCCTTATTCCAGGAGGCAAAATCCAGTTTTTCCTATCTTGCTGAGGAGTCCTGAGATTTCCCTGCTTCTAGCCATGATTTTATGGGGTAGAGACAATTTTCTGAACATAACTGGTTTTCTCTGTGGGTTCTCTGTGGTTTTGATCCTAATTTGACAATAAAAGCTCAATATTTCCTTGTAGCTGAAGTTAAACCTGGACCTTGCCCCTGAATATCTTCATGGGCTGTGCTAATCACCTCTAAACACTTTTTCTCATAGGGGTTCCTTTCAAGCTGTTTCTTGGGTATAAATGACCAAGTTTGCAGAAGACCTTGTAATTGGAAAGGAAGTGAACAGAATCAGACTTTATGGAGCCTTTGTATAAAAGAAAAGAACAGAGTTTTGAGACTGCAAGTTAAAAGAGTAATTATTTGAAATCTTACTCCTGGGGAGAAAAAGTAGTAAACACTGTTAGATAAATGAGGGTAGGAATATAGGCAGTGACTGCACTGTTACAGCCTGGAGTTGTTTTTCACTTCTTGTGTTTTTATTGAAGCAGTTCTGTTCAGACTTTTAGTGCTGCTTGTCCAGGGAAGTGTAACCCAATAACTTCTGGTCCTTTGCTGCATACAGTCAGTGATCACTTTGTATGCGTTATTTATTTAAATAAATATCCAACTGCAGAGCACAGGTTGTGTAAAAACAAACCAAAATAGTGGAGGCCTTTCCCATAATCACATTTGTGTCACAACTGACCTTATCTGTCTAGTCTGCCATAATACGGCATCTACTGCATTTGAGTTGCAGTCTCATTTCATGTTGCTGGTAAGTTTTTTCTAGATTGCAGCAGGGGGAAATAATTTCCTGGGGAAAGTGAGGTGCTTTCATAGGAAAATAGGTAGCAAGCCTGAAACTCTGGCATGAGCAGGGGACTGTAACCAAGACATTTGCTGTGAATTTTTCTTCCCCATCTTGCTGCTCTGGAGCAGAGCACAAGGCTTGTGCTCAAAGACAGCACTGTCATTCCTTTGCTTTAACTTTCTTTGTCCTGTTTTTCCTTCTTCCTTTTCTCTCCCATTTACCTGGAATGGAGCTCCTTTGACCTAAGGACAGTGTTGATGCAAAATCTAGCCCACAGGTCTCAGAATTTTTAGGTGTCTCTAAAGGCTGACCGTAATGATAATTTTCATTATCTAAACAATTGCATTTCCTTTAAATTTTTCTCACTGTCATTTGCAAAGACCTGAAAGAATCTTGTTCAGATCAGCATGCCCATAAGTTTAACTCAGAAACCTTTTTAAAGTGTAGAATCATTAATGTGTTCAGTGATGCTGCAAAGCCTGTGCAAGGCACAGTATATTCAACTTGTGTCACTTCACAACCTTATCAGACCTGTATTGATCTTAAAACCTATAGTTCATGGCATGTAGACTTATTTTCTACCAAATGAAGCACATTTCAAAAAATATTTAAAAGGTCCTCAGTCTCTTTGGAACTGAGTTGTTTGGAACTCTGAAAATAGAAGTTCACTATTGGGATCCAACTGGAACATTGAGTGATGTTCCACATTGACTTCCCATCCAGAAAAATATTAGTGAAAGCTCCAAGGAACATAAATTTAAATGAAGGTTCTATTTCCCTGGATTGGAAGCAAATAATACTGTTTTGGTTCATATTAAAAGAATTCCTTGGTTGATGCTCATGCAACATATTTTGTGGTAAGCTGGGAATATGAACAATCACCAAAGGCTGCAGGGCAGACAAAATAAATGATAGAAACAGCTAAATAGAAAAAGGTTGTGCCACTGAAAACCAGTGAGTTTGGTATGTTTGTTAACATCTGGATGCTGTTTGTTAGATGGAATGATGGCTGATGGGAGCTTGGAAGGAAAAAAACCCTAGAAGAGTATTGAATTTCCTATGCCTGTTTTCATGCATGCTGAAGCAGCAGTTGACTGAACTGGTGCATTTTACAACATCTGAAGCAACTGTAAAAACACACAGTGATGAAACAAGGTGAGATGGTTTTACACTACTTTTCTCTTAAAGTGAGACAGAGCATGTTACTTGGCTAAAGAATGTGCTCCAGATTATGTAGTCTGCCTTATGGAAGGAAAACACCCATCCCTTTCAGAGATTTCTTTACACTTCAGGCATTTATCGAAGCCTGTGCATCGATACTTTGTTCTGCTTCATAACTGCCAGGAAAAAAGCAGTTAAAATAAAAAAGAGGTGAGGTTCTGAGAAGCAGAACTATTGCTGATACTCCTTCTTGCCAAAGCTCAGGTGCAAGGTGGAATACCAGCAGAGATGCATGGACATCACTACTTGAGGACAAAATATGGAGGAGGAGAAAGCTTAGGCAGATAAAATCATTAGGGAGCATCTCATGTCTCTTACTGTCTGCTTCTCTACAAAATCAAATAAAAAAATGTTTGACAGCTCTAGGATTGTTGGACATTTCGCTAATCAGCAACAGATTATAAACATTACAGGAGAAGAAGAGATCACAAAGGTCCAGCTCTAATAGAATCTAATTCTGCACATGTACACAGTTACAGAAGCAGAGCTCATAAAGCTTGACTTTGTAAATGTGTTTAATGTGCCTTCACTGCAAACACCTCCAACAGCAAAACTATATGAATATGAAAATTCTTTTTGTCTAAGCACTGTTTGATGTTAGCTAATAAGATTTTGTGCTGGCTGCCTCATCTTACAATTTAGAAATACCTTCAGCTCATGGCTGAACCCTGTCTCTATTGAGCTCAATGATAGACTCCTGTGCATTTCAGAAGGAACAGGATTTCACTCTGTATACTTTTGCAATGAAGATTAAACTGTGATGCTGTCCATATAATAGCCTTTTTGTTCCTTGAATCAGACAGAACTTTTTTTTTTGGCTAGGAATCATCACCAGATCAATTTAAAAATGGTGTATGTGTAAAGCAAATAGTAAGGAAAACCATAAATTTTAAAAACAAAATCCAGAAGTTTTCTATATGTTGATTGTCCAGTATCATTGTCATGTTTTTATTTATGGCTGTAGTTTAGCTAAGCTTTTAACTGTTTCATTTCTTAAACTACAACTACAGTCTCTACTGATGGAGTAGGTCCTTTACCATACCTAGCACAGTGAACAGGGTATAACAGAGTCACCTTGACACCATCAGTGTACAATGCCAGGGTTGCAAAGCTCTGTTGCCCTGTTTTGATAGATAAGACCTGGAGGAAATGGAGATTGTTTTTTCCAGCTCAGACCATAGTGTCTTTTTATCTATGTAACATGATGCCCTGGTTCTGTTTTTCAAAAATGCAGGTTTCTCCCAAAAATGACAATTTAAAGGGCAGCACTGAAAGGAGTTATCACTTTCTAGATGCATAAGTGCCTACAATCAATGGCTTTGTTCACAAAAAATATTTGCAGGCTTTGCTTTCTATTATGAGCAGCTCAAGATATCACTGGCATATTGCTGAGAAGGAAACATTTCCTTCAGCAGACTTTTAACTCAATAAACTGCATGGCATTGTGTGGGAGAAGGAGGAAAGAGGTGCTCTTTCTGAAAGGGAGGTGCTTTAACTCTAAAGGTTTGTTTTGCTTTAAGAGAAGCCATCCTTTCCCTTTTTCAGTATTTCCTCTTCCCAGGCTTAAGACAATTCTGATCTCTTCTAAACAGCCTCTGCTCTAATTGTTCATCATTTTCCTTCAATTCCTAGTCAACAGTCCTTACAGGATACAAATAAAATGTATAACAGGCAGAAGGGAACTACCAGGGGTTGAAAATAACAATCTCATTGCCCAAGATGTGATACCAAATCATTAGGCTGTTACTTGCCCTTGACCATTTCTCTCTCCTTTAGGGTTTCAGTTATGTAGAGAGCTTGTATTGAACATTTAACCGTGCAGTGTGTGCAGCTTGTTTATTTTGATTCAGAGCTTATGAGCCTATGAAGTTTTGGTGCATGTCTTGTGCATGCAGCTATATGAATTATGTTCCTGTAGGAATGTTGTCTATTAATAGCTCTGCAAAGTAGACACTGACTCTCTGGGAGGCTGCTGTGATAAAAAGCCTTATCACAGAAAGGTCATGTGCTATTTCTATTAACTCCTTTGATGCGATTGAGAAAAGGCTGATGAGACTGGAGCTGGGGCTTCCTAATCCTGTCCATAAGAGTAGTACTTCCAATAGCCTTGCAAAGATACAAAGGGCCAGATCTTGTACCTAGATCCCACCAAACTCAGACTAAATTAAATCAGGAAATATTTAGTTACCTAAAAACTTTTGTGTATCTGGCCCTCGGAGCTTTTATCTACTTGTTGAGTAGGACATATAAAACTCTTAGTAGCACTGTGGGAATCAATCTGTATATAGGGTGTGGTTGTTATTTATGCAAATATCTTAAAGAGAAAGCTACTTTCAATGCCAGACTTTTGTGTTAAGGTATAATTCCCCTGTCATATTTACTAAAATTCTCTACAAAACCTTGCTTTAAAGAAATCATTATTTAATCTGTTAGGAGGTAATGAAGTGCAAGCATAAATAATTCAGAAATGCACAGAAAATGGTGGGCCTCTGGACTCCAGTGTTGATTTCTCTGACTCAGGCTGATATATGCCAAGTTTACTTTAGATCTTTTATTTATATATGTGTCTGTGCTACAGTTATATGGAATTCTGCACAACGATTTAGAAACTCTGCAATTGAATGTTACAGAACACACATCACTTTCACAGCAGTTTGTGGCAGGAATCCCATGAGAAATGGTTGAGACAGCATAACTTTGTTGCCAAATAATAATGTTTAGTGACTCAGAAACTGCCATCTGTTATATAGACTCAGAGCTTGAGCTCTGCATATTGAAATAGACCTTGAAACATCTGCAGGTTTCCTCATAATGTTTAGGCTTAGACATCCACCTAGATGGAATCTCCCACCTCATCCTCAGCCCTTCCCCAAGAGATACTCACTTATCATGGCTGTTTGGGATTTTTAACCTTCCATAGCATACTATCAACCCTATCCACTTTCAAAAATATCTCTTATTTCATGCTCTTCAACTAATGCTTCATTTCAGCCACTATAACCTGATATCTCTATGGTGTTCTATCTTACAGAGTTTTGAGAGGGAGATTCTGAGGGGGTAATGAGAGTTGTACCACCAAACTGATGGGGCATCAAATGCTCCTGTCCAGATTATTTTTTGTCAAATGGGCTGTTCCTGTTGGGCACCTGGATTCACCACAGCAGCCCCAAGCACATGTCACACTGGGGAAGCAGCTGTGCAGCCCTCTCTGGAGCTGCTGTCCACTCACTTGGCATTGCCCATGTGCTCTAGACCTTGCTCTCTTGGTGCACCTTGGAAGACTGTGTGTGTCCCTGAAAATGTGCTACAGGAGCAGAATAAGACACAAATGGTCTCTGGTAAACTTGCAGATGTTTGTCAGTCTGACTCTGAAGTCTTCTGAGTGTTGTAATCTTAAAAAATTCAGTCTGGTCTCTTCCCACCCTCCCTTCTGCTTGCCGCTTCTCATAGCACAGAAGTAACCCCAGTCCCAGTGAGAAATGCTGAAGGAGGAAAGTAGGTCATTGCATTAAATGATGGGGTGTTTTGTTACCATTCTCTCTCACACTGTTGTGATCTGCTGTGCAGAATCCAAACTAATCCCTGTGCACAGGGATCTTCCAGGCAGAGGTGAGCCACAGAAGCCTACTGAATAGTCAGCATGGCTGGACTTTTATCTTATATTTTCCTTATGTTGGGGAAGGTGAAGAAGGCAAGGAACAAAGGCTAGAAGCTGAAAATAGCATTAAACCTAATAGAAATTTGTGCAACACAGCTATGAAATACAGATATGAATGTATTGATGCAGGGTGCCTGTGAAGGCACATTACATGCTCTGTTCCATTCCTATTATGTTAGAGTTAGAAATAGACTGTTAGAGGAAGTGACAGGCGTATGGTTTTGATGCTTGGGTTTGTTTTTATACACTGAAAATGAAGGTCAAGGAATTGAGAGAGAGCTCCAAATCACCGGTCAGCCACAGGCAATGCTTTTCTATTTGTTTATTCTGTAGTTGTTCCAGTATTTATAAAGATGTTGTAGTCCAGGAAAATGTCCTAATACATTTATATGATATGATATGATATTGGCAAAGGATAGGAATAATCTACAGCAACACATTAGGTTTAGCCAGAAACTGACCTTGTCTAAATATTACCACAAGATTGAAGTATCTTACCAGAAGAGTGGCTATGAATAAATCTTTTCCGATCTACAGAAGAAAGAGATTTTGCCTCTGATGTTAAAGAGAAACAAGATCTCTATAAAGGAGTACATTACATCTGGAGATAGATTCCCTCATGGACAAAAGCAATGATTCCTTTAAAACAGCTTTACACAATAGTAAAGTTTCATTTCTTACATATGATTATTTTTTTATTTTTTTTTTACTGCTCATTACACAAAAGAAGACATTGTCTAATTAATTCCAACAGTTATTCACATTTTGAATTTACAGGAAGGTTTGAACTCTTAATGATGATGATGACTCATGAATTAAACATCCCTGAGAAGCGTTCACCTCTGTCTCACCAGTGAAAATCAAGATATATGATCCATACCACACTGCCTTTCCCCTGTTTACTGATGGTATATATCCAGTGTGGGCACAGTGGCAGATTTGAGCAGCTGGGGCTGGTTTCCTTTGAAACCAGGGAAAGGGAAAGATGCAGGAAGAGGACTCAAACTGGGGGCAGGCCACAGAGCTGCAGAGACCTGAGATATTGCTGTAGCCCTTGGGACAGCCATGGCAAAGTATTAAAACAAAGTCCAGCCTACACTACAGAAGTTTTCCTGGCATAGAAATGTCATGAGGAGTGAAAACCTTTTCCTTATGTGGCAATAGCAGTATAGCCCCAGAGCAAAGACTATCCAAAAAATCTCTCTGCTGCTATAGCATGTTCTGCTTAAGGACTAGATACAAGCCATGGGAGCAAAAGAACTTAATTTTTGGCCAG